GAAGAGACAAAAATGTTTACTATGCTTACATCTTCTGTTTTAAGGACCAGTTCAAAAGTTTGATGTTGGTTAAAAAACTTCCTTCCTTATTCCTTAATTTTAAGAATCACCCCCCCACCCCCTCCAAATTAATTCTGAAAATGTTGAATCTCAGAGTTTAGTGGTCTCTTTCGTCACATTTCCGTGTTTCGCCCTGTCTTTTTGGAATGTTTATCCAATAAAGTTTATTTACTAGGTGTTGACAATCATTAGTAGGTTTTTCATAGATCAAATTTGTCATCATATATTACGCACTGTACTAGATGGACTACTGTCGGCAATGATAAAACCTGTTGAAAGACAGGATGTATTTATGTAACTTCTAACAGAATATGAATGAAAATAGGATTGGTTTAGTTCAGTTACTGTATAAAACACTGAGAAATCAGGTAAGATGACTTTGTCAGATGGAAAACTTGCAGGGCCATTAACTCCCCCACCCCTAAACTTAGGGAACTTAGGTTTTTTTCCGACATCAAACTTTTGAACTGGTCCTTATTCAGTGCCAATTTGTAGCAAAATTGAAGCACTGACAACAGGTTCAGAATTATGCTACTAGTCAATAAGTACTACCATCACTGGATTCTTACTTGTCCTCGGGACAATTAAGTAGTCTCAGGCTAGTGGACTAGCGTGAATTTCGAAGGCTGACTAGATGGTGAATTCAGGACACATGTCAAACCAGCTTCAATACTTAACAGGTTTGTGTACAGTATTCCTCCATCAACTGTGAATACATTGGGCTGTAGGGCTTGGAGAGGCCAAATCTACTACCCGGGTACTGACCCACTATTACCCAACTCTACCCAGGTACCCGCTGTAGGTCTGAAGAGTTTGGAACAAAACTTCTGATTGGTAATTGTTTTACTGCAGCCCTGGCCAAAACTATTTAGATACATGTATCAAACAATCAGATCATGTGAACACTGAAGTTGACTGAAGCTTTATCTTTACTCAAACATATACAAGTCAAAAGGAATGTGTGCATCGTCAGACAGAAATGTGAAAATTAGCGACTTGTAGTGTAACCACTGAGCTATTGTGATATATAACGTGACTATCCACGGGTCCGGGTAGTTCTGTGGGTACCCGGGTCCTACTCAGGACCCACGTGACCCCAGGACCCAAGTTACCTGTCCCAGCCCTATCAGGCTGATATGTGATGAATCGAGACACACTGATCCATTGACCGAGGTGATTCTAGTGTCAGAGCATCAACGGATGGATTATAGCTCATTACAAATATCCATGATATTCTTAATCTAAAGACTACTTCATGAATAAACATTTTTTGTACCCTCCCACTGCTTGACATTGACGCAATGTGTATGGCACGATGTCAAGAGTGAGTGAGTGAGTGAGTAAGTTGGGTTTAACGCCGCTTTTAACAGTATTCCAGTTATATCACGGCGTGTCAGTTGTGAGTGAGTTGGGTTTGACAACGCTTTTAACAATATTCCAGTTATATCGCGGCGTGTCAGCTTAATGTGGGAGGAAAGCCCGAAATGATGCAGGTCTCAGACGTTTACCACTTCGGTGAAACCCACGAGCACGGGTATGGTGCTGACAAACCTAGAAACATAATCAGGGCGAACCGGGATTCAAACCCACAATCATAGGTTTCTGGTGTGTCCAAGGGACGCAACTCTGCACAGAGAACTGCCGTGCCTTAGACGACTGGGCCACCCGTGCCCCCCCTGATGTCAAGAGAAATATGACATTTGGGTGATGAAAACTAAACACTCATCGGCTGATTACTCACTGGAAACAGGTCGTCACTAGTTTTGTTGGCTATAAATAGAGACTAAATCAGAAATCGGGGTATGTATTTACTAGTGATGGAGCATCCCTGTACACAGACCCATGAAGTACCGTACTCGACGTAATAAGCGCCCCGCTCTAATAAGCGCCCACGGCGATATTTGCTGATATATTGGCTAGTGAACAATCCCGATTGGCACCCCTTCCGATTGATCAATGTACACAAGACTTATTTATTCGCGTATAATACGCACTTCAGTGTTATTTGCATTCTTAATTATGGGAAATTAAATTCTGGAAAAATATATCTGTCGCATATTACAATTCAGTCTGTCAGCATAAACCACGAAATTTATCTTTCAACTCTGTTTTTTCCACCAAAATGATATTCTAATAAGAGCCCCCTATTTCTAATTTTGAAAGTGCTCTGGGCGCTTATAACGTCGAATAGGGTATTGACAATGATGTGAAACTAAGATATTTTCTGTAAACACAATGGTGTTTGAACAACGTGAATCAGAGTGAAATTCAAAAAATCAATGTAGGTAACACTAAATTCCACAAGTTTTGAGACCCCAAGAAAACTTCTTTCGACAAGCCGATCTGTAAGAGATTCTTTCGACAAGCCGATCTGAAAGAGATTCTTTCGACAAGCCGATCTGAAAGAGATTCTTTCGACAAGCCGATCTGAAAGAGATTCTTTCGACAAGCCGATCTGAAAGAGATTCTTTCGACAAGCCGATCTGAAAGAGATTCTTTCAACAAGCCGATCTGAAAGAGATTCTTTCAACAAGCCGATCTGAAAGAGATTCTTTCATAATGCCAATCCTACTGAACAAGGAACTGTAATGCTGGTGGCATTTCTCTTGAGAATTCAACATGCTGTTCATTTTCAGAGTAACAACATAACGACTAAAGCTGTTACAAATGTTATTTTGGAGATATCACACTTTCTTAGTAAAGTACAGAAAGTGTTATCCCAAACATAACATTTGTTCCATTTGCCAACTTTCTAAATGGCATCGTGTGTTCATGACTAAAGATGTTTATTGACTTTATTAGTAAAACCCCTGAAAAACAGATTTTGTTGGATTGAAAATCTGAAGATTTTGTCAAATAATTGACCACAAGACTTAAAATATTTGTCTGACGTAAACTTTTGAGCTGATTTCCCCTTGGCTAGGAATGCCAATAGATCTAAGTCCTGTCCCCTTAAATAGCTCCATAATGACTTGTTCAGATGATGCACACACACACAATACTGCATACACAACCATGACTATCACAAAACCATGAGTGCAGATATTAACCTTGCATGACTCGTCATACAGTTTCTAAACACTGGCGACAAGTGCTACAGGGAAGGTCATCGTTGAAGGGAGGTAACTCTTCCAGTGTTAATGCAAGGCAGTTGATCGGGAAGCAATAAGACAATGTTAAGCCATGGAGTACATGGTCAACAACAACCAGGAAATACCATTCTTGAACTTTCAACTAGCTATGAGGGGCTGGGGGTGGGGACCATCAAACTGGACTTTTTTCACAAAAAATGCATACATTCAAACTGAAACAAAAAAAATACAGACATAAATTCTTACTTGTGTCTTTTGATAAAAAAATATCAACACGAGTCTATAAAAATCTCTAATGCTTGCAAGGAGTTTTGACTTTTATTGACAAATGTTGATATATTTTATATAAAAAAACACAGGGTGGGATTCTAATTATCATCCAGCATTATTCTTCCAATTTCTTCAGTTTGTAAAAGTAATAACCAGTGTCTAGAGTGTATATATACAGGTAACCAGCTTCAGTGGCAGGGAGATTAGTGATGTCATTTGACTGTGACGCCATGGTAACCGATGTCACAATGGTCTGTAAAAAAAAAAGCAATGTAAAAATTGTTTCATACTTGAAAATCCCCGCCTTTTGCCCCTCAATAATATTATCATCTTGTTTTAACAATGGAACTTTGTGCTCGTTATTGTTGGTGACATACTAACCCCACTTGATCCTGTTGGTACCACTCTCCCCGTACTGTCACATGGAAGGCGGCTGCCCTATATCCATCGATGTGCGAAACTCGACACTTCAATCAGAATGTATATACCGTATTCGACGTAATAAGCGCCCGGGGCGCTCTCAAAATTAGAAATAGGGGGCTCTTATTAGAATATTATTTGGGTGAAAAAAAACATAGTTGAAAGATAAATTTTGTTGTTTATGCTGACAGCCTGAAATGTTTATGTACGACAGATATATTTTTCCAGATTTTAATTGCCCATAAATAAGGGTGCATATAACACACGTGTGCGTATTATACCGAATAAATAAGTCTTGTGTACATTGATCAATCGGAAGGGATGCAAATTCACTAGCCAATATATCAGCAAATATCGCCGTGGGCACTTATTAGAGCGGGGCGCTTATTACGTTGAATACGGTATGACTATTAGGTAAAAGAATCCCTCTCTAACATTTCTTGTTTATAAGTCTAGTTTGTATCTAAAAATAAAAAAAAAATTATATAGTGACACCATACAAGTGCTGGTAAACAAAAGGCAGCCATGTTACATTCAGAAAATAACCTTGTAAACTTTTAAAACTGATTATTTATCAGTGGAATAAGTTAATTATTTATTTCATTTTGTTTGTTTGTTGTTTAACGCTGCACTCAGTAATAATCCAGCTATATGATAGCGGTCTGTAAATAATTGAGTCTGAAGCAGGCAATCCAGTGATTGACATCATGTGCATCGAGCTGTGAATTGGGATACGATGACATGCATCAACCATATGCATCTAATGTGAAAAGTAACATGGGAAATTCCATGCATGAATCGAACCAGCCACCTCATGTTTTTTTTGTAACCCAGTGTTTTCACGGAGCATCCAGTGCAGGTGATGAAAGGGTGTTCAAGCTTACATGTCATGACTTCAGTTGTCTGCATGCTGCACATGTTCTTTCTCTCGCCTGCTGTGCTCGCATCTGTTTTATACCATGACTGTGGATTGTCCCATATCATGTTCTTTTCTCCTAATAACATAACTGATTCTGGAAAGACTGGCATTCAGGAAAACCTTTCTTTTCTCTTTCATCTCCATCATCTTCCTGTCTTCGTCAGCCATCATCCATGCCCCAAATCTACATGAATCCAAAACTTCCTCACAAGCAACATCCGAACTCATGCTAACTTACCCCGGTACATTTCTTCTTTCCTGGAAACAAACAATTACAACACAAGAACATTGGACTTCTGAAGCCATCTACCAAAGAACGTGCCCTCGTCCTCTGCCACAAGATATACAGAATGGATTTCTGTGTCCTTACGTAATATACAAAAGCAGTTATATCACAGCCAATTGAACCAGTTCACCGTTGTGTCATGTGTCTGTGTGTCCATTGTGTCCTGGCACACAAATATCCGTCAATCACAATAACAGCGCCATCTGGTGAACTAGTCTTCACTACGGAGGGTTGGCAAGCGTTTCTTCATCTCGAAGTAGGCTTCGAACCTTGATATGGCATAGTCCTGAAACAGGAACATAATCGTTTTGTTATTTCACAAGCAGATAATTCATATTGTTTGTCAGTTGTTTAACCCACACAATATTCCATAAGTCTGTGAATACTGTAAATCTTGAAATTAACGCGAGCGTGAATTAAATGCGAAAAATGCGAGTGGTCCTTGCTCACATTTTTAAACATCGCATTTATATCAACAATAAGAAATTTTGGATAGCAGAAATACCAACTTAGACATACACTGAAAACAAACAACTATGTATTCAACATCACTGTTTATTGAGCAGCACTTGTAATAAGTATATAAACAATGTCATTCAAACACTAATTACATCCTGTGAATTGTCACTGCTGGGGTCAAGACACGAGTTCAACTCACTTATGTCATCACTGATCACACCTGCAAGTCCTGACAGACGCAACACGGTGTCTTTGCTCTTTGCGACTGCGTCAAAGGCCGTCACGAGCCAGTGTGCATGTACTGTTTTAGCGGAAGTACTCAACTCAACGCTAATAAGCAGTGCTATTTGGTGTGTGATTGGATTAATGTAAGGTTGGATTAAGGTGAGGATTCTCCTGTAAACCTGACCGAGGACATTTTCTTTAGATATAAATCCACTGATGTTTGAGATATTGAGTCGCATTATTGACTAGGGGCCAGTGGCCCCTTCTTTTGGAGACGCATTAATTTCACAATTTACAGCAATCAACATGATCAAGTCTGGCATCAGCATCGATCTATACAATTGCGATATGATGACATGCATCAACCAAGTCAGCGAGCCTGACCACCAGATCCCGTTAGTTGCCTCTTGCGATAAGCAGGGGTTGCTGTAGACCAATTTTACCCGAGATCTTTTCGTTCTGCCCTTTTGCATGAAGATTGAACTAAGTCGATAAAATAGACGATAGAACAGCCAGGTCCATCTGGGAAAGAGCCAGAAGTTATGAGATCATCATTGGTGAAACCCACGAGCACGGGCATGGTGCCGAGAAACCTAGAAACATAATCAGGGCGAACCCTGGATTCGAACCCATGATAACTGGTTTCTGGCGTGCCTTTCAGAGCCTTAGATACTACCCATTAAGGGTGTGCAATATAACTGGTATATCGATATATTGCAATACGGCCTTCAGCAATACATGTATTGCAATAACACCCTTGCGTTTCAATATTCTCCGATACAGTCACAGAAGAATTAATATATAATTATATAAATTATATCTACTATCTTGATGCATTTAAATGGACTGGTTTCGTATTTAACCCTGCAAACGCTACACACTGTTTAAATTAACATTCCATACTGATGATGTAATAGGTATTCTCGTTTATCCATACTACTACTATCTTGGAGCCGAAATCTGATTATTAAATGAAGAAATACCATTTAAACAGTACAAATGTATATAATTTGGGCCCAATACATATTACATTATGTATCTCATATTGCGATATACTGCAATCCGATTTATGTGCCAATACGCAAACCCTACTACCCATGTCCAACCTTTAACACACCATTAGCTTGTAACCAAAATATTTTTTTTAATATGTGTGAGGTGAGGTGAAGTGAAATGGGGTTTAACGTCGAGTCCAAGATTATTGCACATATATAGCGACGTGCATGCACGTGTGTGTGTGTGTGTGTGTGTGTGTGTGTGTGTGTGTGTGTGTCTGCTTGTACTAGTCCGGACTGATGCCGATTTATAGTGCTAGCTCACTGAGATACCATGCCGCAGTTTAACATGAATACCCTACACTGACACAGTATACTGACTCCGAGCCGACCAGTCCTTGTTTTAGCCCCTTAATGCCGAGCACTAGACAGGGTAACAACAAGTACCATCTTTTAACGTCTTTTGGTATGACGCGGCTGGGGATCGAACCCCAGACCTTCCGCTCTCTGGGCGGACGCTCTACCACTAGACCACGGAGGCGGTCCTTTACTATGTGTGAGACATGGCTGTTTACTCACCCAATAACCGAACTCGATCTTGCAGGTCTCTGCTTGTATAATGGCCCATGTCCCCCACATGAAGTGGGACCCGAGAGCGTACGTATTTACTTCTATGTACATGGTCGCCAGCTCGGTCTCTGAAATGTCCTCTTCCGCACGTCCAAAACTTTTCAGATACTCTCGGAAAAAAGCGTACTGAAATAACACATGACACGGATTAGCTATAGAAGCTTTCATGTTGGAAATCATGGAATGTCATGATACGTATTATAAAGATGCTGATTCTTTCGCGTGCGATTACTGATATGACACAAAGTCAAGTCAAATCTAAAGCTACGTACTTGAACCAGTATACACACCTGTTTACTAGAGCCTGCCTGCTGTTTACTAGAACACACCTGCTGTTTACTAGAAACCACCTGCTGTTTACTAGAAACCACCTGCTGTTTACTAGAAACCACCTGTTTACTAGAACACACCTGCTGTTTACTAGAACACACCTGCTGTTTACTAGAACCCACCTGCTGTCTACTAGAACCCACCTGCTGTCTACTAGAACCCACCTGCTGTTTACTAGAAACCACTTGCTGTTTACTAGAAGCCACCACCTGTTTACTAGAACACACCTGCTGTTTACTTGAATCCACCTGTTTACTAGAACCCACCTGCCGTCTACTAGAACCCACCTGCTGTTTACTAGAACCCACCTGCTGTCTACTAGAACCCACCTGCTGCTTACTAGAACACACCTGCTGTCTAATAGAAACCACCTGCTGTCTACTAGAACCCACCTGCTGTCTACTAGAAGCCACCTGCTGTCTACTAGAACCCACCTGCTGTCTACTAGAACCCACCTGCTGTTTACTAGAACCCACCTGCTGTTTACTAGAACCCACCACCTGTCTACTAGAACCCACCTGCTGTCTACTAGAACCCACCTGCTGTTTACTAGAACCCACCTGCTGTCTACTGGAACCCACCTGCTGTCTACTAGAACCCACCTGCTGTCTACTAGAACCCACCTGCTGTTTACTAGAACCCACCTGCTGTTTACTAGAACCCACCTGCTGTCTACTAGAACCCACCTGCTGTCTACTAGAACCCACCTGCTGTTTACTAGAACACACCTGCTGTCTACTAGAACACACCTGCTGTTTACTAGAACCCACCTGCTGTCTACTGGAACCCACCTGCTGTCTACTAGAACCCACCTGCTGTTTACTAGAACCCACCTGCTGTCTACTAGAACCCACCTGCTGTTTCCTGGAGGGGAATCGGTCTGGAATGTGGTAGAACATGGGCTGCTCCGGGTTTGTGTAATCATAACACCATTCTATGAAGTGGTTCCCGATATCAAAGCCCCTGAGAACAGGAAATAAATATTCCTATTTAATTCCGAACAATATGGCACACGCTCGCTCTAACAATGCTACCCTGTTGTAGGAATAACCTTTTCAGCTCAACACTAACTCACAGCACGGAATTGTTTTGTTTCCTGGAGTGAGTGAGTGAGTGAGTGAGTGAGTGAGTGAGTGGCCTACGATACACACTATAATGCCTCTTATATATATACGAGAAAAAGTATTATGATGTAAAAAAGATAAATGTTTGAGCTATCATCATCATTATTATTATTATAATCAATTTCTTTGCCAAGCACTAAACAGTTAAATTTTGTTTTGGTAGAATGAAAAAAACCCATTGGTTTCTTTTCTCCAATGTAGTGTTGTAAAGTCTACAGTTAACCATGCTCGCCAATGAACATGTTGAAAACACATTATATCTGCCATGTGTTTCCTATTGTTCATGAACAGCTGTTAAACATATGCTTTTTTATGAACATATTTTTTGTATAGGTAATAGGCCAACACACACAATACACAAGGTGTTGCAGATATGTCTCACTACACTGTACACGTGGTGTGTTACAATGCACTGCTACAATACATCACAATCAGTCAGTGACTCATATACCAGCAGGCATTGATAGGGCAAACTATCTTCTTTTGTGTTTATCGCCATCATTGTATCATGATGTCTTTGTCTCATGACATCATCACTGGATCATGCCATCATCATTGTCTCATGACGCCATCATTGTATGATGCCATCATCATTGTCTCATGAAGTCATCATTGTCTCATAACGTTATCATTGTCTCAAGATGACATCATCATTGTATGATGCCATCATCATTGTCTCAAGATGCCATCATTGTATGATGCCATCATCATTGTCTCATGATGTTATCATTGTCTCATAACGTTATCATTGTCTCAAGATGACATCATCATTGTATGATGCCATCATCATTGTCTCAAGATGCCATCATTGTATGATGCCATCATCATTGTCTCATGACGTTATCATTGTCTCATGACGTTATCATTGTCTCAAGATGACATCATCATTGTATCATGCCATCATCATTGTCTCATGACGCCATCATTGTATGATGCCATCATCGTCTCATGACGTTATCATTGTCTCAAGATGCCATCATTGTCTCATGACGTCATCATTGTATCATGCCACCCATCATTGTCTCATGACGCCATCATTGTCTCATGATGCCATCATTGTCTCATGACGCCATCATTGTCTCATGATGCCATCATTGTCTCATGATGCCATCATTGTTTCATGACGCCATCATTGTATCATGACGCTATTATTGTATCATGACATAATCATTGTCCTGGAAAACATCATTGTCTTATGATGCCATCATTGTCTCATGATGTCATCATTGTCTCATGATGCCATCATTGTCTCATGATGTCATCATTATATCAGGTCGCTATTATTGTATAATGACACTATCATTGTCTCATGTCATCAGCATTGTCTCATGATGTCATCATTGTCTCATGACGCCATCATTGTCTCATGATGCAATCATTGGCTCTTGATGCAATCTTTGTCTCATGATGCCATCATTGTCTCATGGCGCTATCATTGTATCATGACGCTATTATTGTATCATGACATAATCATTGTCTCATGATGTCATCATTGTATCATGTCATCATCATTGTCTCTTGACACCATCATTGTATCATGACGCTATTATTGTATCATGACGCTATTATTGTATCATGACGCTATTATTGTATAATGACACCATCATTGTCTCATGTCATCAGCATTGTCTCATGATGTCATCATTGTCTCATGACGCCATCATTGTCTCATGATGCAATCATTGTCTCATGATGCAATATTTGTCTCATGATGCCATCATTGTCTCATGGCGCTATCATTGTATCATGACGCTATTATTGTATCATGACATAATCATTGTCTCATGATGTCATCATTGTATCATGTCATCATCATTGTCTCTTGACGCCATCATTGTATCATGACGCTATTATTGTATCATGACATAATCATTGTCTCATGATGTCATCATTGTCTCATGACGCCATCATTGTCTCAAGATGCCATCATTGTCTCATGACGTCATCATTGTCTCATGATGCCATCATTGTCTCATGACATCATCATTGTATCATGCCAATCATTGTCTCCTGACGCTCTTATTGTATCATGACATCATCATTGTCTCATGACGTCATCAATGTCTAATGATGTCGTCATTGTCTCATGACGCCATCATTGTCTCATGATGCAATCATTGTCTCATGACGCAATCATTGTCTCAAGATGACATCATTGTCTCATGACATCATCATTGTATCATGACGCTATTATTGTATCATGACATTATCATTGGCTCATGATGTCATCATTGTCTCATGATGCTATTATTGTATCATGACATAAGCATTGTCTCATGATGCCATCATTGTCTCATGACGTCATCATTGTATCAATCCGCCACCAATGTATCATGCCCATCATTGTCTCATGACGCTACTATTGTATCATGACATAATCATTGTCTCATGATGTCATCAATCTCTTATGTCATCATTGTCTCATGACGCCATCATTGTCTCATGATGCCATCATTGTCTCATGACGTCATCATTGTATCAGGCCGCCATCATTGTATCATGCCCCCCATCATTGTCTCATGACGCCATTATTGTATCATAACATCATCATTGTCTCATGACGCCATTATTGTATCATAACATCATCATTGTCTCATGACGTCATCATTGTCTCATGATGCCATCATTGTCTCATGACGTCATCATTGTATCATGACGCTATTATCGTATCATGACATTATCATTGTCTCATGATGCCATCATTGTATCAAGTTGCTATTATTGTATCATGACATAGTCATTGTCTCATGATGCCATCATTGTCTCATGATGCCATCATTGTCTCATGACATCATCATTGTATCATGACGCTATTATTGTATCATGACATAATCATTGTCTCATGACGCCATCATTGTATCATGACGTCATCATTGTCTCATGATGCCATCATTGTATCATGATGCTATTATTGTATCATGACATAATCATTGTCTCATGTCATCATTGTCTCATGTCATCATCATTGTCTCATGATGTCATCATTGTCTCATGACGCTATTGTTGTATCATGACATCATTATTGTCTCATGACGTCATCACTGTCTTATGATGTCATCATTGTCTCATGACGCCATCATTGTATCATGACGCTATTATTGTATCATGACATAATCATTGTCTCATGACGTCATCATTGTCTCATGATGCCATCATTGTCTCATGATACCATCATTGTCTCATGACCTCATCATTGTCTCATGATGCCATCATTGTCTCATGACCTCATCATTGTCTCATGATGCCATCATTGTCTCATGACGTCATCATTGTATCAGGCCGCCATCAATGTATCATGCCAATCATTGTCTCATGACGCTATTATTGTCTCATGACATCATTATTGTCTCATGACGTCATCAATGTCTCATGATGCCATCATTGTCTCATGACGTCATCATTGTCTCATGTTGCCATCACTGTCTCATAACGTCATCATTGTCTCATGACACCATCATTATATCATCGTGTCATCCACAGTATCATGCCCCCCCTTCATTGTCTCATGACGCCATCATTGTATCATTGGGTCATCCACAGTATCATGCCCCCCCTTCATTGTCTCATGACGACATCATTGTCTCATGACGCCATCATTGTATCATCGGGCCATCAACAGTATCATGCCATCATATCATTCCAGAGTGACGTCGTGTCTGTCTCACAACTGTCATTACCGGCATTACATTTTTCACCATGTCGATAAACATGACATGTTGTCAGTCATGCAGAAGTTCTTCCATAATTGATGCATGAAAACATGTTTTTCTCCTGATTCTTGACAACACCTGTGCATCCCCCAGCGTGGAGAGTGCTCCAAGATGGCTACCCACCTGAAGTTGTAGCTGCAATACTCCCAGTCTATGACCGTCATCTGCCGGGCCGGGTTCGGCTCGTCCTTCAGGTACAAGATGTTTCCTGGAAACAAAGGGCACAAGTTCAATAGCGCTGAAACAAATGTAAAATACTGCTGTTTGTCTACAGTAAACAATATCTATTCCCTTGCATAGCACTCCTATCGCTTTAAATATCTGTTTGCCTGAACAGTCTTGTTACTTGTTTTAATCTGTCACCTGTTATATAAAGTTTTTATTTGAAATGTTTCCCCCTGCCTTAAGGTATTCAGGAGATAAAACTTTGGACAACTGAATCACAGTGAACCAAATCGTCTGATATTTGACCTTGTCAATGTCATCTGATGTGATATGATATCAAACATAACCTGTCTTCATTCTGCCTTGTATACACCATGCCTTTATCAAAAAATCATTATTCTGCCTTGTATACACCATGCCTTTATCAAAAAATCATCATTCTGCCTTGTATACACCATGCCTTTATCATGGAATTATCATTCTGCCTTGTGTACACCATGCCTTTATCAAGAAATCATTATTCTGCCTTGTATACACCATGCCTTTATCAAGAAATCATTATTCTGCCTTGTATACACCATGCCTTTATCAAGAAATCATCATTCTGCCTTGTGTACACCATGCCTTTATCAAGAAATCATCATTCTGCCTTGTGTTCACCATGCCTTTATCAAGAAATCATCATTCTGTCTTGTGTACACCATGCCTTTATCAAGAAATCATCATTCTGCCTTGTGTACACCATGCCTTTATCAAGAAATCATCATTCTGCCTTGTGTTCACCATGCCTTTATCAAGAAATCATCATTCTGCCTTGTGTACACCATGCCTTTATCAAGAAATCATCATTCTGCCTTGTGTACACCATGCCTTTATCAAGAAATCATCATTCTGCCTTGTGTACACCATGCCTTTATCAAGAAATCATCATTCTGCCTTGTATACACCATGCCTTTATCAAGAAATCATCATTCTGCCTTGTATACACCATGCCTTTATCAAGAAATCATCATTCTGCCTTGTGTACACCATGCCTTTATCAAGAAATCATCATTCTGCCTTGTGTACACCATGCCTTTATCAAGAAATCATCATTCTGCCTTGTGTACACCATGCCTTTATCAAGAAATCATTATTCTGCCTTGTGTACACCATGCCTTTATCAAGAAATCATCATTCTGCCTTGTGTACACCATGCCTTTATCAAGAAATCATCATTCTGCCTTGTATACACCATGCCTTTATCATGAAATCATTATTCTGCCTTGTGTACACCATGCCTTTATCAAGAAATCATCATTCTGCCTTGTGTACACCATGCCTTTATCAGGATTTCATCATTCTGCCTTGTGTACACCATGCCTTTATCAAGAAATCATCATTCTGCCTTGTGTACACCATGCCTTTATCAAGAAATCATCATTCTGCCTTGTGTACACCATGCCTTTATCAAGAAATCATCATTCTGCCTTGTGTTCACCATGCCTTTATCAAGAAATCATCATTCTGCCTTGTGTACACCATGCCTTTATCAAGAAATCATCATTCTGCCTTGTGTACACCATGCCTTTATCAAGAAATCATCATTCTGCCTTGTGTACACCATGCCTTTATCAAGAAATCATCATTCTGCCTTGTGTACACCATGCCTTTATCAAGAAATCATCATTCTGCCTTGTATACACCATGCCTTTATCAAGAAATCATCATTCTGCCTTGTATACACCATGCCTTTATCATGAAATCATTATTCTGCCTTGTGTACACCATGCCTTTATCAAGAAATCATCATTCTGCCTTGTGTACACCATGCCTTTATCAGGAAATCATCATTCTGCCTTGTGTACACCATGCCTTTATCAAGAAATCATCATTCTGCCTTGTGTACACCATGCCTTTATCAAGAAAGCATCATTCTGCCTTGTGTACACCATGCCTTTATCATGAAATCATTATTCTGCCTTGTGTACACCATGCCTTTATCAAGAAATCATTATTCTGCCTTGTATTCACCATGCCTTTATCAAGAAATCATTATTCTGCCTTGTATACACCATGCCTTTATCAAGAAATCATCATTCTGCCTTGTGTACACCATGCCTTTATCAAGAAATCATCATTCTGCCTTGTGTACACCATGCCTTTATCAAGAAATCATCATTCTGCCTTGTGTACACCATGCCTTTATCAAGAAATCATCATTCTGTCTTGTGTACACCATGCCTTTATCAAGAAATCATCATTCTGCCTTGTGTACACCATGCCTTTATCAAGAAATCATCATTCTGCCTTGTGTACACCATGCCTTTATCAAGAAATCATCATTCTGCCTTGTGTACACCATGCCTTTATCAAGAAATCATCATTCTGCCTTGTGTACACCATGCCTTTATCAAGAAATCATCATTCTGCCTTGTGTACACCATGCCTTTATCAAGAAATCATCATTCTGTCTTGTATACACCATGCCTTTATCAAGAAATCATCATTCTGCCTTGTGTACACCATGCCTTTATCAAGAAATCATCATTCTGCCTTGTATACACCATGCCTTTATCAAGAAATCATCATTCTGCCTTGTATACACCATGCCTTTATCAAGAAATCATCATTCTGCCTTGTGTACACCATGCCTTTATCAAGAAATCATCATTCTGCCTTGTATACACCATGCCTTTATCATGAAATCATTATTCTGCCTTGTGTACACCATGCCTTTATCAAGAAATCATCATTCTGCCTTGTGTACACCATGCCTTTATCAGGAAATCATCATTCTGCCTTGTGTACACCATGCCTTTATCAAGAAATCATCATTCTGCCTTGTGTACACCATGCCTTTATCAAGAAATCATCATTCTGCCTTGTGTACACCATGCCTTTATCAAGAAATCATCATTCTGCCTTGTATACACCATGCCTTTATCAAGAAATCATCATTCTGCCTTGTATACACCATGCCTTTATCATGAAATCATTATTCTGCCTTGTGTACACCATGCCTTTATCAAGAAATCATCATTCTGCCTTGTGTACACCATGCCTTTATCAAGAAATCATCATTCTGCCTTGTATACACCATGCCTTTATCAAGAAATCATCATTCTGCCTTGTATACACCATGCCTTTATCAAGAAATCATCATTCTGTCTTGTGTACACCATGCCTTTATCAAGAAATCATCATTCTGCCTTGTGTACACCATGCCTTTATCAAGAAATCATCATTCTGCCTTGTGTACACCATGCCTTTATCAAGAAATCCTCATTCTGCCTTGTGTACACCATGCCTTTATCAAGAAATCCTCATTCTGCCTTGTGTACACCATGCCTTTATCAAGAAATCATCATTCTGCCTTGTGTACACCATGCCTTTATCAAGAAATCATCATTCTGTCTTGTATACACCATGCCTTTATCAAGAAATCATCATTCTGCCTTGTGTACACCATGCCTTTATCAAGAAATCATCATTCTGCCTTGTATACACCATGCCTTTATCAAGAAATCATCATTCTGCCTTGTATACACCATGCCTTTATCAAGAAATCATCATTCTGCCTTGTGTACACCATGCCTTTATCAAGAAATCATCATTCTGCCTTGTATACACCATGCCTTTATCAAGAAATCATCATTCTGCCTTGTATACACCATGCCTTTATCAAGAAATCAATCAGAGTCCAGGTGTAAACAACTGTGGGTTTGGGGAATGAATGGACTACATCAGCAGTTTTATGATCATGATGATGACTGTCAAGGTATGACAGCAATCTTGATATGGAGCAAATTGCAGTCACATCAGGTGATATTGGCTGGATACTTAACCATTTTTGTCAACAGCTGGTGATGACAACATTATTGTGTTCACACATCGAGGGAAAATCAATAACGACCAAGGACCAGGATTACATACCAAAACATAAAATACAGTCCAATCATGGGCTCTTGTGTCATATGTAGTTCCATTTGTCCGTTGTCATGTCCATACTATTACCTATTAGTGCTATTTACCCCATGTCTCTAATCTGCCCACTGTCCATTGCCTATTACCAGTGATAATTTAAGTCCTGGCTTCCAGTGGCTTATTGCTATCACCTATCAGCACTAATTAACTGTTAAGTGTTGGCTTCCAGTCGTCATTGCTGTCACCTATCAGCACTATTTAACTGTTAAGTGTTGGCTTCCTGTTGCTGTCAACACTCAGCACTATTTAAATGTTAAGTGGTTGCTTCCAGTCGCCTGTTGCTGTCAACTATCAGCACTAATTAACTGTTAAGTGTTGGCTTCCAGTTGCCCTTTGCTGTCAACAATCAGCACTAATTACCTGTTAAGTCCTGGCTTCCAGTTGCCTGTTGCTGTCAACTATCAGCACTAATTAACTGTTAAGTGTTGGCTTCCAGTTGCCTGTTGCTGTCAACTATCAGCACTAATTAACTGTTAAGTGTTGGCTTCCAGTTGCCCGTTGCTGTCAACTATCAGCACTAATTAACAGTTAAGTGTTGGCTTCCAGTTGCCTGTTGCTGTCAACAATCAGCACTAATTAACTGTTAAGTGTTGGCTTCCAGTTGCCTGTTGCTGTCAACTATCAGCACTAATTAACTGTTAAGTGTTGGCTTCCAGTTGCCCATTGCTAATCACCTGTCAGAGCCAATTACCTGTTGGTTTCCCTTGTTAAGTTTCCACCTTTGTTATTTTATTACTTTTGTTGTTCTTACAGGTACATATACATATAGTCACATGTTCTCTGCTTCTGCTAATTTACCTGATGAAGGAGTAAGTATATACTCCAAAACATTGTGTTCCTCATAACAAAGAAGTTGACAACTTGAAATCCATAAAATTCTCTACCTTGTGTGTATCACTTCTAAATGCCATTGAAAGATGTCATATATCACGTCATCAATCAGGACTTCATGTGTTCACCCTGTGTCATATATTATGTTATCAACCAGGACATGTCACATGTTCACCCTGTGTCATATATATCTATCAACCAGGACATACCACATGTTCACCCTGTGCCACGTATAACGTTATCAACCAGGACATACCACATGTTCACCCTGTGCCACGTATAACGTTATCAAACAGGACATGTCACATGTTCACCCTGTGTCAAATACTGTAAACAGGGAATTTTTTGCGACCGTTTTATTATTGCGAGTTTTGCGAACGAGACTCAATCGCAAAAATTAAAATCGCAACAATAAGTATTAATAATACATACATACTTTATTCATTGCAACACGTCATCAAATGTTTAAATCATCAACCAGAACCACAAGTTACTCAATAAGTTAAAAACACAAATGAATGCAGAATGGTCACACAAAACATCACAAATGACAATGTAAACAGACCAATTAGTGTCTTCTTATATAGTTTGCATTCAAACTCACAGTCATGACACTGAGTTGAGTCAATTATCGTATTTGATAATTGGTCGCAATCCCCTTCCGGTCAACTTTCCGGCCAACTCAGATGAACTAGCTTCGGAGAGAAGCTGTCTATTGTTTGGTAATCGAGGGGTCATCTCAACACGGCAACTCGCAAAAATATCTCGTCGCAGTATTGTCTTTGGTTTGGTATTCGCAATATTTTAACAGCGCAGAAATAAAGCTGTTTACAGTACATCTATCAACCAGGACATACCACATGTTCATCCTGTGCCATGTATAATATTATCAACCAGGACATCTACATGGTGTTCAAGCCATGTGTTCATGGTGTCCAAGCCATGTGTTGTCCAAGCCATGTGTTGTCCAAGCCATGTGTTTATGGAATCCAAGCCATGTGTTCATAGAATCCATGTCATGTGTTCATGGTGCCCAAGCCATGTGTTCATGGAATCCATGTCATGTGTTCATGGTGCCCAAGCCATGTGTTCATGGAATCCATGTCATGTGTTAATGGTGTCCAAGCCATGTGTTCTTGGTGCCCAAGCCATGTGTTCATGGAATCCATGTCATGTGTTCATGGAATCCAAGCCATGTGTACATGGTGTCCAAGCTATGTGTACATGGTGTCCAAGCTATGTGTACATGGTGTCCAAGCTATGTGTACATGGTGTCCAAGCCATGTGTTCATGGAATCCATGTCATGTGTTCATGGAATCCAAGCCATGTGTACATGGTGTTCAAGCCATGTGTACATGGTGTCCAAGCTATGTGTACATGGTGTCCAAGCCATGTGTTCATGGTGTCCAAGCCATGTGTTCATGGAGTTCAAGCCATGTGTTCATGGTGTCCAAGCCATGTGTTCATGATATTTAAGTCATGTGTTAATGGAGTTCAAGCCATGTGTTCTTGGTGCCCAAGCCATGTGTTCATGGAATCCATGTCATGTGTTCATGGAATCCAAGCCATGTGTTCATGGTGTCCAAGCCATGTGTTCATGATATTTAAGCCATGTGTTAATGGAGTTCAAGCCATGTGTTCATGGTGTTCAAGCCATGTGTTCAAGCCATGTGTTCATTATGTGTCAAATGTTCAGACAAGTTCCATGAGGTGCATGAGTGCACAACACACAATATGCCAGTTACAGTTGGGCTTGAAGTAATAACCAAAAGTCAAAAGACGATATGTATTGCTGTACTTTGACAAATGTATAGAGATTATTGTACGAGCATGTTTGTCATACTGATTTCACGAAACAGGTGTTAGAACTCTTGTATCTCCAGAGCGAGAACGAGGGTAATACAAGAATTCTTACACAAGTTACATAAAATCAGTATGACACACATACAAGTGTAATAATTTCTTTATTACTCAATATTTCTTAATCAGTTTGAGCTTCCCTTTAGACAAATTTCTTTTTACTGATCACTGCCGCTGAGTGTGAATATCATTACTGTCGAGTGACGTCAACAATCTACAACTTCATTTCTAGTTTGACATCATTCCGACATTACGTCACCATAAGAATCTAATGACATCAACAATCTTCAACTATGTATGTCTAGTGTGACGTCATTCAGACATTAGGTCACTGTAAGTATTGAATGATGTGAACAATGACGTCCAGATGACGTGAACAATACACTGAAGTGATATTTGCACCAGTGCACATACTATCTTTATGAAGTCGGGTATTTCTAACCCTGTGGGTAATAAAACAAAATATGACATTGTTTTATCCAGACTGTATCTTACCTTCTTGTAGATCATTATGACAAAACACGACTGGTGAGCGAACCCGAGACAAGATTAGCCTGAAAATAAACCCATTTCATTCTGGTCAAGGGGCCTTTAAACAGAACATCATTGATGACACCGGTATATACAGTAATGACACCGGTATATACAGTAATGACACCGGTATATACAGTAATGACATCGGTATATACAGTAATGACATCGGTATATACAGTAATGACACCGGTATATACAGTAATGACACCGGTATATACAGTAATGACACCGGTATATACAGTAATGACACATTTAATTTTAAAGAATGTCAAATAAATTGACAAAATACAAGTGAATGAGTATATTTAAGGCATACTATCAATTAATTAATTAATTAATTAATAAATATTGATGTTTTTTTATGATTTACATAATTTTTTAAAAATAAATCCTTTGTTAAATTACAGGGCCAGCTGATTGAGAATTTTAAAGAATTTCTACTTAATATTAAAACTGACACCAGAAACCTATGTAGTTATAAAAATTATAGAATGATGTGAACTCACATTAATTCTTCAAATTCCTGCTCTAAATTGAAAGACATAAGTTTCTTCATTTTTGGATTGCTCTCTGAATGTTGGGAGAAATTATTCTTGATTTCTGTCAGCCATCTGAAAAAAACAAGAACATGGTAATCTAAGAGTGATTGTCATCTAAGTGTGATTGTCATCTAAATGCGATTGTCATCTAAGTGCGATGGTCATCTAAGAGCGATGGTCATCTAAGTGCAATGGTCATCTAAGTGCGATGGTAATCTAAGTGCGATTGTCATCTAAGTGCGATGGTCATCTAAGTGTGATTGTCATCTAAGTGCGATTGTCATCTAAGTGTGATGGTCATCTAAGTGTGATTGTCATCTTAGTGTGATTGTCATCTAAGTGTGATGGTCATCTAAGTGCGATGGTCATCTAAGTGCAATTGTCATCTAAGTGCGATGGTCATCTAAGTGCGATGGTCATCTAAGTGCAATTGTCATCTAAGAGCGATGGTCATCTAAGTGCGATGGTCATCTAAGTGTGATTGTCATCTAAGTGCGATTGTCATCTAAGTGTGATTGTCATCTAAGTGTGATTGTCATCTAAGTGTGATTGTCATCTTAGTGTGATTGTCATCTAAGTGTGATGGTCATCTAAGTGCAATGGTCATCTAAGTCTAATGGTCAATTGATTTGACTTTATTACTTTGTTTTATTCCTAAAATATCAAAATGTCTGACAAAAAAATCAACACAGTTTAGTCAAAATAGCTGTGATATCACCCCTATCTATACACAATGTTTAATTAACATAGCTGTGATATCATCCTACAATACACCATGTTTGGTCAACATAGCTGTGATATCATCACACCAATACACAATGTCAGGTCAACATAGCTGTGATATTGTCCCACAATACACAATATTTGGTCAACATAGTTGTAATATCGTCCTACCAATACACAATATTTGGTCAACATAGCTGTGATATCGTCCCACCAATACACAATGTTTGGTCAACATTGCTGCAATATCGTCCCACCAATACACAATGTTTGGTCAACATAGCTGTGATATCGCCCCACCAATACACAATGTTTGGTCAACATTGCTGCAATATCGTCCCACCAATACACAATGTTTGGTCAACATAGCTGTGATATCATCCCACAATACACAATGTTTGGTCAACATAGCTGTGATATCATCCCACAATACACAATGATTGGTCAACAGAGCTGTGTTGTCTCTATAATGTTTACACAGAGAACAGTAATATTGTCCTACCCATCCACGATGTTCTTGAGCCACCGTGGTTCCTTGCACAGCGGCATGTCCAGTTGATGGAAATGGGCCAATTTCCTGGCGATGAGGTGAGATATCGATGGTGTTACCAGGTCCGATGTTAACAAAGCTTGTGTCTGGAACAGAAGTGGGGGAGTGAGTAAATTATGTTCTACTTCTCCGCCAATGTCAACAATTCGACACACCACAGAGGACTACCAGTATGTTTTGACACAAGAGAGTGGGTGGGTGGGTGGACTGGTGGGCTGATGGGTGGGTGGGTGTGTGGGTGGGAGTGAGTGGGCGTTGGGGGCGGGTGGGCAAGGCAGGCAAGCAAGTCTTAATGTGATATGTCCATCAAACCATCTGTTACAATCAGAGGTGGTAATTGTGATTTGAAACCTCTGATTGAATCAGAATCAAGAAGTATTCAAATTCATTTCAGAACTGCTATTTATCATCCAAAACTGGCATCCACAGTTTATATCACTTCATTGAAACTTCAACAACAGAGCTACAGATTAGCTGCGTATTTGCGTAAAATACCAACCAAAACTATTCAAAACCCAATTAACTTGTGTACAGAAACGCATGCATAAAAAAACTCAATTTTTTTAACATTTGTTTAAAACAGCACGCGTAAATACCCAATGCAGCTTTTTCAGCATGCGTACAACGGGGCTAATTTCCGAAACACAATTTCCGAGCTAATTTACTTTCCAAGTCAAGCCTATATTTATGAACCGTTACATACATCTAAAACATTATTTCATTTTTTCTTAAATCTCAAAATGCTTACTCATTTTGGGAAAAAAACCAATAGAGTGATAAATAGATGAGTGAAAAAATATTGGTTACCCAATGAAAAATGTAATAACACAATTAAAATAGAAACCTTCAACTAAAAACTCAACTGCTCAAAAAGTTATCTGGAGCTCTGAACAATATGCTTTGCAGACAACTGTGACATGGATCATCATGGCGTCACAGTCAAATGACATCCCTAATCTCTCTACCACCGAAGCTGGTTAGCTGTATTTGTACTCTCAAGACACTGGTTATAACTTTTACAAACTGAAAGAGTCGGAAGAATGATTTTGGATGATAAAACGTGTGTCTTCCAAGCTCAAATATATCAACTTGATAAAAGTAAAATATCCTCGGTAAGCCTTGGCATTTGTAACTTTTAACAACTTGTCTTTATATACTGTAAAACGTGAAATTAATGCGTCTCCAAAAGAATGCGACCGCTGACCCCTAGCCAAAAATGCGACTCAATATGAATGCGTCACCCCTTCCTCTTACTTATATTGGAGATTTTACGTGCGCTTTCTGACTGCAGCGTATGTCGCACACGGGCCCGACCAGGCCATTTAATGTGTTTCCCAAAAGGGGAAATGTGAGTTTGTGCAACCCAGACGGGGGGCTTTAGGGGTTGCTTATATAGTAATTTTGAAATTTGGAGATTTGGAATGAATGCCAAGAGTGGGTGGAGGACGAACTAAGGGAGCTGTGTGTGTTGGGTGGTTGTTAGATAAGGTAGTTTTGGTTTTAATATTTATTTGGGGTTTAAATGCGACTAATTAGTCCTGTTTTAATTAGGTATATGCCTAAGGCTTTGAATTTTTCTAATTTATTTTGTGGATTTAGGATTGATTCTAGTGTAAGTGCGGTTTTAAGATTTAGGGTGGTCTGTAGTGTTGTTCGTTGTGTTTGGTAGTGTGTGCAGTGAATGAGTACGTGTTCTGGTGTTTCTTGTTGTTTGCAATGTGGGCAGTTTCCTGTTGTGTGTAGATTAGCTATTTTATGGTGATTATTTAGTTTGGTGTGGCCTGTTTGTAATTTAGTAATTATTCTGTTGATTTTTTTGGATGGGTGTAGTATTTTTGGTTTAGTTAGGTTTTTATGAGTACTTTCCTGATTTGGCTATTTAAGTTTTGGTATATATTTTGCCATTTTTTGTTGATTTTTTGTTTAGTGACACTTTTGATTTCTGATTTTGAGCTGGGTAAGTTTAAGCTTATTTCTGGGAGTTTAAGGGATAATTTTGCTGCTTTATCTGCGTTTTCATTTCCAAAGATTCCTACGTGGGCGGGGATCCAAATGAACTCTATTTGTTTACATGCCTTAGTTAAGTTGTTAGAGCTTTTGAGTATTTAATTTATTAGTTTGGGGCGGTTTTTAGTGTTTTTATTTTTGAGGGCTTGTAGTCCACTGAGAGAGTCGGTTAGGATGAGGATTTTTTGGTGTTTTTTAGATTGCTGATTGTGTAGTGCTGAGGCCATGCCCATGAGTTCGCCCGTGAATATGGATTGGTTGTTTCGGAGTCGGTAAGATTGGGTGTTTTTGGTTGGTTGTGCGATGTGGACTCCGAAACCTGTGTGTTTTGAGATCGGATCTGAGGATCCGTCTGTGTATATGTGACACCAATTAGGCCAATTTTCATGTATGTATGCTAGTGTGGTGGTTTTAGCGATGTTAGGATCGGTCTGTTTATTTAGTGTATTGGCTAGTGTTGTGTCTATTTTTGGTATTTTAAGTTTTGGAGTGAAGATATTGGATGATTTATTGTTTTGTTTAAGATTATTTATTTTGTGTTCATTTAGGTAATTGGTTATTCTTTGGGAAATTGGAGTAAGTAGTGGATTTTTCCGGGCTAGGGCTTGGTTTCTAGGGCTAATCTTGTTTTTTTATTAGGTTTTCAATTAGACCCCTCCTCTCAAGCATCAGTGGATTTATATCTAAAGATAATGTCCTCTGTCAGGTTTACACGAGAATCCTCACCTTAATCCAACCTTACATAATCCAATCACACACCAAATAGCACTGCTTATTAGCGCTGAGTAGAGTACTTCAGCTAAAACAAATGGCTCGTGTCTGCCTTTGATGCAGTCGCAAAGAGCAAAGACACCGTGTTGGGTGGCGTCTGTCTGGACTTGCAGGTGTGATCAGTGATGACATGAGTGAGTAGAACGCTTGTCTTGACCCCAGCAGTGACAATTCACAGGATGTAATTAGTGTTTGAATGACATTGTTTATACACTTGTTACAAGTGCCACTCAATAAACAGTGATGTGGAATACATAGTTGTTTGTTTTCAGCGTATGTCTAAGTTGGTATTTCTGCTATCCAAAATGTCTTATTGTTGATATAAATGCGATGTTTAATAATGCGAGCAAAGACCACTCGCATTTTTCGCAATGTATATCGAAAGACAGAGAGAATATTCAAGAACAACACATCCATATTTATGTAGCTGTTTAGTACGGTTAGCAGTTCTTGAAACACTTGTCGATTGTCATATGAATGAGATTATTAGCGGGATGGTGGTATGTTATTTATAATTGATAATTATCCATCAACACAAACCATCAGTGCATGCACACTCCTAGACTGGCACAAACAGCCTTGTCCATGTTGACAACGCAAGAGATATTGACAAACATGTCATTATAGTGAGTATTGTTTTACGCCGCCTTATCAATATTCCAGCTATATCACGGCGGGGAATCCAGAAATGGGCTTCACATATTGTTCCCGTGTGGGCAATCGAACCCGGGTCTTCCGCGTGATAAGCGAACGATTAAGCTGATCATTGTACCATGACACACATGCAGTACTTGCTTGTTAAGTGGCAATTCAAGCGATTCAAGATTCAACTATCTCCTTATCTGGTGAGGTGAGGTGAGGTGAGGTGAGGTGAGGTGAGGTGAGGTGAGGTGAGGTGAGGTGAGGTGAGGTGAGGTTAAACACAGCGTATCAACCAGGGCATTCAACCAACAACCTTCAGCTGTCTGGGGAGACACACTATGCATACCTAGAAGTCCACTCAGCTTCACATACTGGCGTGATGGGACGTGATGGGACATATTTACCACGTCACTAAGATCAAAGTGATGAGGCAGTGTTCAACAATTATGCTGGTCCACCAGTAAAACAAAGATACAAGGCTCTGACTTTCATCTGAATTATTCTTGAATATCATATTATATCCTACATCGGAAAGGCCACACAAGGAAAAGGAAAAGGAAAAGAGTGAGTGAGTGAGTGAGTGAGTGAGTGAGTGAGTGAGTGAGTGAGTGAGTGAGTGAGTGAGTGAGTGAGTGAGTGAGTTTTTCAACTCTGTTTTTTGTCTCACCAAAATTATATTCTAATAAGAGCTCCCTATTTCTAATTTTCAGAGCGCCCTGGGCGCTTATTATGTCGAATATGGTACATGTGACTAGAAACACTATTGGTACATGTACATGACTGAGCATCAGTCATGCCCAGCTAGGGATTGATTCGCCTTGCACAACTGACAATCTTCCCAAGCACTGGGTAACACAGAAGAATTGACTACATGCACCTGACTTATGTGTACCTGACTGAGCCCAAGCTTTTGGGATCAATTGTCGAGAGTGATACATAGAATACAAAGGTTTCGACAATTAACTACACATCTATCATTCTACACTACAGATAGAAAGCATTGGATGCTAAATACTATGGAGGTCAAGCATGACCTGTGTGTGACAACAGGCATCCAATGCATCCCATCCTAATGACTGCAGGGGTAAATACACCCACAGCTGACGGCTAATACAAATAATTGAATACTACAGGGAGAAGCCAGAAACATGAAATAAATGTAAAACAAGGATATATGTGGAAGGCAGAAAACAAGGATATATGTGGAAGGCAGAAAACAAGGATATATGTGGAAGGCAGAAAACAAGGATATATGTGGAAGGCAGAAAACAAGGATATATGTGGACGGTAGAAAACAAGGATATACATGGACGGTAGAAAACAAGGATATACATGGACGGTAGAAAACAAGTATATACGTGGATGGCAGAAAACAAGGATATATGTGGACGGTAGAAAACAAGGATATACATGGACGGTAGAAAACAAGGATATACGTGGAAGGCAGAAAACAAGGATATATGTGGAAGGCAGAAAACAAGGATATATGTGGAAGGCAGAAAACAAGGATATATGTGGACGGTAGAAAACAAGGATATACGTTGACGGTAGAAAACAAGGATATACGTTGACGGTAGAAAACAAGGATATACGTGGACGGTAGAAAACAAGGATATACGTGGATGGTAGAAAACAAGGATATACGTGGACGGTAGAAAACAAGGATATACGTGGATGGTAGAAAACAAGGATATACATGGACGGTCATGGGGGATGGAGGTGGGATTGCATGTACAAGATGGCTGACATTGAAGCGCTGCTGAGCATGCTCGTACCTAGGCATGCTGGGAAGTTGTCTTATCTAAGTTACTATAAATAGCATCACACATGATACATGTATGTATTACTGATGTTTTGACTTACTATAGATCCTTATAATAATATTAATACATAACCGGGTGGTTAGTGTTACACTTATCTGATAATAAACTGCAAGAAAATAGTATTCTGGCTAATAATGTTGACTTTATGTTAACATAATAAGGAAACAATAACTATGATTAATGACGTGATGATACCAAACGACGCTGGAATTAATCTCAACATATAAATATACTTGTGTGCTACATTTTGAACTCTGAAGATACCGACATAGCAGTTTAACTTATTATAAACTCACTCAAGCAAACCCATCTCCCCCGTCACAAACGAGCTAACACTAATGGAGTAATTATCAAAATTATCAAAATATTATGTTTCCATGTGTTAGCTTGTTGGGTTTTAACTACTGCAACCTGTTGTTTTGCACTTGTAATCTATTTTAAAGATACTTTTTTTCTGGTGAACACATCAGTTTATGTTCGACGAAATACAAACAAAATATAGAGCTCTCGAGAATTCTTTTCTTCACTTTATATTTTTCAGATGAGGGAGACTGTAAATTATTGAAAACAGTCTCGTCTGCAAATAAGGTGTGTCGGAGTGCGAGACTGTCGGATTAACGGGTCTAAATAGCACTGATTTAATCGGTTCCCATCATTAGTGTTGGATAAAGCCGATTGTCGGATTAACGAGTGTCGGATTAACAAGACTTGACTGTATAGTGCTCTCCAGAACTCTGTTCTTCACTTTATATTTTTCAGATAAGAAAGACTCTGTAAATTATTGAAAACAGTCTCGTCTGAGGACTTAAACAATGACCACTCACTGGAATGTATTCTTCTATCCTTCCATCATGATAAATGCCATACAACTTTGGTCCCATTCCCTTCTCTGACAGGAGAGCGAACACCACGGAGTTGTGGACAACGAACTCCTTACTGCTCTTGGCAATGTGTCCGTAGATACGCAGCAACACGCAGGTCGGCTCCCTGATGTCCGGCTCCAGTGTCTTTGGAAGGTAGCACAAGTATAGGAAGTTCGTTAGACCACCACTGGAAGAAGAAATAGAAAAATGCTGTGGTTATGAAAGTCATAATACTTTCTTTGATAAAAGGGGGAACAGGTGGCCCAGTCGTCTAAGCTGCCGCGATTTGCTGTGCAGAGTTGCGTCCCTTGGGCACACCAGAAACCTATGATTCTGGGTTTGAATCCCAGTTCGCCCCAATCATGTTTCTAGGTTTGTCTGCACCATACCTGTGCTTGTGGGTTTCAGCGAAGTGGTAAACGTTTGAGACCTGCATCACTTCGGGCTTTCCTCCCACATTAAGCTGACATGCCACGATATAAATGTAATACTGTGTGGTGTGGAAATATGTGCAAAATAAATGGACTATTATTATTTTTTTTGAGAGTCTGTCAAATTTTTGTGTATATTGCACAGCAAAAAACGGAAATACGTTTGTAATGGTATGTCTTCTACAGTGATGATGACGTGAAAACTACAATTACTAACAGTCACATCACAGTTTTGTTGCTGCTTAATGCCTCACTCAGCAATATTCCAGCTATATGACGGCAGTTTGTAAATAATCAAACCAGGGCCCACTTGCACAAAGCGATCTTAGCGCTGAGACTATTGTAAGCCAATGTTAAAGTATGGGAGTTACGATCATCTTAGCGCTAACATCGCTTTGTGCAAGTGGGCCCTGGACCAGACAATCCAGTGATTGATATCTTGAGCAACAATTTAACTGTTGGGGTACATTGCCACGCCAAGAACCAAGTCACTGAACCTATCCAACCGATTCATTAAGTTGCCTCTCAAGACAAGCATGTCAGCATGGTATTAGAGGAAACAGCCTGCAGTTCTTTTATGTTTACCATGTAATCCATGTAGGCAGTGAGAGTGATCTCCCTTGGAATGGGTGCAACATTTTGTTGGAAGTAAGTAAAAATAAGGCCACTCATAGTAAATGGAAATAGAGAAGAGAGCAGACAGCAGGAAGAGCTGCATTCATAATGGCAAAAATAATTATAAAATGAGGCAATGAGTGATTTCCCTTGTGGCTCTATAGTCAAGTTTGTTTGTTTGTTGTTTAATGCCACACTCAGCACTATTTCGGCTATATGACAGTGGTCTCTAAATAATCGAGTCTGGACCACACAATCCAGTAATTGACTTCGAGCTACAGAATTGGCATGCATCAACCCAGTCAGCAAGCCTGATCACCCGATCCTGTTAGTCACAAGAGTGAATTTGAAAAGAGTTAATTAAACGTTGCCATCTCAATAAAACACCAACCTAAACCCTTATTTCTTGAAAAGTTATATCACAACGTCTGGACTTGACAATACCTGTCATAGAAAATGTTTAACATTCTGAAAACAGATGACATCTAAGTGACTTTCCAGAGCACATTGTTCAATTATACAAAATAAGGGGGGGGGCTAGGTTTCTAAGATGTGTTCCCATTGAAACCGAAACTAGAAACTAGGGCAGGGGAGTGGTGGTCAATGAACTGGAGGAACAAAGGCTTGAATTTGTTGAGAGTGATAGCTTACAAAGTAAAGCATTGTTCAGTTACAATCTACACTGTGAGGTAAGTCCATATTGTGTGTCATGGGAATCATAGATACAGTATTTCCTCTAAAAATCGTCAAGCACATTCCTTGCACAAGCTTCTAGCCTGGCAGGTAATGGACACCTGTCGTTTATAAGAGATCCAGTGCTTAGTATTTCACTTGGTAAAGACGGGAGGTGATAAAACTGGACCCTTTGACCCTCATGAAGCCCAGCTTTAAATGGAAACTTCATGCTTATTAGAGACCCTGTGCTTATTAGAGACCCAGTGCTTATTAGAGACCCAGTGCTTATTAGAGACCCAGTGCTTATTAGAGACCTGGTGCTTATTAGAGACCCTGTGCTTATTAGAGAACCTGTGCTTATTAGAGACCTGGTGCTTATTAGAGACCTGGTGCTCATTAGAAACCCTGTGCTTATTAGAGACCTGGTGCTTATTAGAGACCCGGTGCTCATTAGAAACCCTGTGCTTATTAGAGACCCAGTGCTTATTAGAGACCTAGTGCTTATTAGAGACCTGGTGCTCATTAGAAACCCTGTGCTTATTAGAGACCTGGTGCTTATAAGAGACCCTGTGCTTATTAGAGACCTGGTGCTTATTAGAGACCTGGTGCTTATTAGAGACCTGGTGCTTATTAGAGACCTGGTGCTCATTAGAGACCTGGTGCTTATTAGAGACCCAGTGCTTATTAGAGACCCGGTGCTTATCAGAGACCTGGTGCTTATTAGAGACCTGGTGCTTATTAGAGACCTGTTGCTTATAACATTGTTTAACTGCCCTGGTGCTTGATACGACCGAGGGCTTACTAGAGACCCAGCGCCTTTTGAAGATGCAGCCCTTAGACCTGGAGTTTATTAGCATGACTAGAGATGCATCATGCCAGACTGCTATTGAGTGGCATGGGGCTCGCTCATATGTTAATGTGACCCCTACTCGACTCTATACCATAGGTTGTAATGTGAACAACCGTATTCGACGTAAAAAGCGCCCAGCTCTAATATTTGCTAATATATTGGCTAGTGAACAATCCAAAATTGGCACCCCTTCCGATTGATCAATGTACACAAGACTTATTTATTCGTGTATAATACACACTCATGTGTCATACGTCTCTTAATTATGGCCAATTAAAATCTGGAAAAATATATCTGTCATATGCAAACATTTCAGGCTGTCAGCATAAACCACGAAATTTACGGTCTTTCAACTCTGTTTTCTTTCACCAAAAAAATATTCTAATAAGAGCCCCTTATTTCTAATTTTGAGAGTGCCCTGGGCGTTTACTACGTTGAATACGGTATGTCTATATACTTGCATCTCCTGGGGAGTCTTGGTCATACATTCGGGGCTCTCAGGGTGACCAATGTTCCAACAACAAATAGAATATAAGTATGTTTGATGCCCTAAGCTTGTTACATTGTTACAGATGGAGGATTCCTTGTTTTAAGATTTGTTGTATTTCTTATTACCATAACTTAAGGCATCCTTTTGTTCTCCAGTGGGGTCACATCTCATAAACAGGGATCTTATAATATCCCAAGGATTTTATATAATTTCCCAGGACATTTGTTATATAATATGTTATAATATCCCGGGATTCCCGGAATCCAACTATTTTACGTCCAAGGCATTTTATATAATATCCTCTGGATTATATTTTTACAACTTCCGTTTTTATATTGTAACATATGAATGTGTCTCCCTAGAAATATATTTTGCATTATCCCCTTGGATTCGGCTTTTAAATCTCATAAAACCCTTTGACGTGTCTTACCCTACACATAAATATCAATTAAGAGGTTTCAATGACTCCAACTATTTTGCGTCCAAGGGGACCCCAGTAGGTATTATTTGCATCTATTATCTAATTTTTATGAGAATAAGAGGCAATATTTTCCGTCCGGTAAAACCTACTTGTGATATCAAAGGACAGGTGCATAGGTGGAGAAAAAAAAATCAAATGCTGATATATAGTTAAAAAAGGGCTGCCAGTGAAATCACTTCTTTATGAATGTTTATGAGTGAGTGAGTGAGTGAGGTTTTACACCGCTTTTAACAATATCCCAGCAATATCACAGTAAGGGACTCCAGAAAATGGGCTTCACATATTGTACCCATGTGGGGAATCGAACCTGGTCTTCAGCGTGACCAGCCAAGGCATGAGTGAGTGAGTGAGTGAGTGAGTGAGTGAGTGAGTGAGTTGGAAGTAGTCCACCAGTGTTTACATTGTTTTAAGAATACGGTCTCGTGAAAAACGTATGCACATTAAATTATGTTGGTCATACACTTATGAACGTCAATATCGCGGTCATCACGTTCTTACTATACCAATTACACGATAGTTGTAATGAAACAGAAATTCAAATTGACAAACAAAGAAAATAATTTAGCAGGCGTAAGAGTTTTCGGCGTCACTGCAGTCATCACTTGTTTGTAAACATAAAGGTCAGTCGATCGCCAGCTCAACTCCCAGCATGGTTGCAGCCACCTTTCACAGTGGGGAGTTTTGACTGGTGGCAGCAATAGTAAAGACAGCTCTGTGAATGGGTTATCCCTGTGAGGAGCTTGGTGTGCACCCTGTTGGTCACATGTTTGTAACCAAAACATCACGTGTGTCCAACGTGTTGAGCCTATCCCTCATGGGTCCTAGAGTGTGACTGACTGAGTTGTGTTTAACGCCGTATTCCAGTCATATCACGGCATGTCAGCTTAATGTGGGAGGAAAGCCCAAGTGATGCAGGTCTCAAACTTACCACTTTGGTAAAACCCACAAGCACGGGTATAGTGCTGACAAACCTAGAAACATAATCGGGGCGAAGCTCAGGTTTCTGGCATGCCCAAGGGACGCAACTCTGCACAGTGAATTGCGGCGCCTTAGACGACTGGGCCACCGTGTCTCCTCATGGGTCCTAGAGGGCACAAAGTGTTGAAACTAATCTGACCCATGTTTAGCTGATATTCATGGTGAGGTGACGTGAAATGGGGTTAACGTCGCGTTCAAGATTATTGCACTTATATAGCAACGTGCATGTCGGTGGGTGTGGCTGCTTGTACTAGTCTGGACTCATGCCATTATATAGTGCTAGCCCACTGAGATACCATGCTGCAGTTTAACATGAGTACCCCACTCAGACACAGTATACTGACACCGAGCCGACCAGTCCCTGTTTTAGCCCCTTAATGCCGAGCGCCAGACAAGTTAACAACAAATACCATCTTTTCACGTCTTGTGGTATGACATGGCCAGGATCGAACCTCGAGATTCCGCTCTCCTGGCGGATGATCTACCACTGGACCACGGAGGCGGTATATACATGCTGTAGGAGGCAGTGACAAGGGAGTGCAATTGATGGAGTGCAATTGCTTCTGTCTCTGTTTGTAGATGAGACCTTGTGACCAAACAGGCCAGATATTTCTATCAATCACATTGTCATTAATTCAAGCAAACATCAGTCCAAAAATATTTGTTT